ATTTATTAAAAATAACACTAAGACATCTTTTGAGAAATTTAATTTATAGTTATAATACTGGAAATGACCATAAATTATGATAGTAATAGTACAGTTAACCTTTCATGGTCGAACGATGTAGAAAAACGAAAAACAAGACTGAACAGATATAGTTGATCCCGCGCTAAAAATTCGTACTTTTAAAAAGACCTTTTGCAACTTATGCTCTCCTAATACAAATTTTCCGATTTAACAAACTCTTCAGTTTTGCGTCATATACAAGGGGCGGTCGAAAAGTTATGGAACGACAAAATTTCAAAAACAATTTTTGATTTTTCCATTACTTTATGACCAACCCTCGTATTTGGCTCAAAACCGAAACTTTTCATAAATTCCAAAATTTGTATTAGGAGAGCATAAGTTGCATAGGATCTTTTTCCATTACTTTCTGATCAACCGTCGTATTTGATTCAAATCCTAAGTGACTGCAGCGCCATCTAGCGGTACGCTCTTGAACTCCAATAGTTCAACAGTTTGTCACAAGAGGCGCCACCGTCGCGGCCCCCTTGCGGCAAATCGATGAACTAAGCAGTTCAGTCATCCCCCGCTAGAGGGCGCTGCAATCACTTAGGTTCCGTGAATAAAAATGAATACTCATCTAAGGATAGCCAAGGTCACACATTTTAACTTGTAATTTATTTATTTTGCTTTGTTTTAAATACATTCAACTATTACACTGATCAATGGCGATCGAAAGTCAGACATTTAACTTTTATTGATTTTACTTTGTTTTAAATGCATTCAACAACTATTACACAGGTAAAACACGCAAATGATAAAACAATAATGAGTTGATTTATTTATTTAGACAAAAATTACATCTATTACAACGATATTTATAATACACGATACAAACAAAATATCTCAGAAATAACAGTTTATAATGACTTATAAAAGTTACCACACAAAATACCTAAAAGAGAAAGACAAGAAAACAAATGGAGTTTCAAAGAAAATACAAGAAAGAACGTTATTTATTTATGAACTCTCATATTATTATTGAAACACATGATTAGGGAGAAAAAAGGCCCCCTAACCCTCTGTGGCCTCCACATCTCCCCTTATAGCCATCCTATCCACCCAAACGATATTAATTAACAAATAATTAATTTAGTTTTAACAATTATGCCAAAAAATCAATTTAGAAACATTTTAAATATCAACCTAAGTTGCAATTAAATAANCGAGTCTACTCTAGCGTTACTTCCTTTCAGACAGGGTACAGTGGGTTATCTGGAATAGGAGCAATAGGCGACTGCCCAGCTTGCCTTGGCGAAATCTGTCCGATCTTCTCTACCAAAGCTATTAGTATTTGTCGTTAGTCCTTGTAATTGCACTATTCGCTTTCAGATAATGAGGTATTTCCTAAGAAGAACGAAGACATCATTTTCTTTTTTGCTTTTTATTGTAATTTCTTTGAAATTTCATGTTTTCTTGTCTTTCTTTTACAGGTATCTTGTTTTTTACTGCATAAACTGTTATATCTTTATAATCATAACTTAGGTTGTTATTTAAAATGTTTCTAAATTGATTTTTTGGCATAATTGTTAAAACTAAATTAATTGATTAATGTTCATTTTGGGTGGATAGGGTGGCTATAAGGGGAGATGCGGAGGCCACAAAAGGTTAGGGAGGCTTTTTTCTCCCTAATCTTGCATTTAAATAATAATGGTATGACAGTTTATGTATAATAATTGTATTTTCTTTGAATTTTTATTGATTTTCTTGTCTGTTACAGGTATTTTATTTTTTAACTTTTATAAGTCGTTAGAATGTATTATATCTTAGATATTTTGTTTATATTGATGTATTGTTGTTATTTGAAATAAATTTGTACTTTGTTATAATAAATGTAAATTATATTT